AACAACAACAACAACAACTGCTCGCTGTACAATACTCTGGCAGACCCGTTACAGCAGGCCTCCTTTCTTCTTCATAGAGTCTCATCGATGTATTTGTGGCCAGCACCTGTGCCCACTGTGCTGCACCTCTTACAGGGTTCATTATGGCACTGCCCGCGTAGAGATCCCTATACCTCTTTAGCGGTGTAATGCGCCACTTTATTCCCGGTCCACAAAAACATCTGGGGACCTTTGAGCTCAAGAGTTAGCGCTTCCATTTGGGTGCCCTCTTGCCTCGTAATACAATTTCTCAAAACTTCGCGGTACCGGAATAAACAAGTGGCCTGCTGAGGCTTGGCCATCCTCGGTCTGCCTGGTTGCAGCAGAAGCTCTGGGCGTCAGACCCCTAACACTTATGTCAGCACCCCTTGTTCGGGTTTACTTCAGCAAGATAGCCCCAGCCTCCGCCACACCCAAGCTTAGGTACTGCAAATTCTCAGAGGATTTGGATACCCCTTAAATAGGTATAGCGCCGGCAATATCTGGGGCCAACAGGGATTCAACCAATCTTTTATTGAGCTGATGCGGGTGACAACCGATCACAGGCCTGCCAACTTGCATCAACTAGTTCCTTGGGTGCGATCCAGTAACAGCATTGGTGCAATTGTATTGGCTCTGTGGGTTTTCCGTTAGCGTCCCCCTAAATGTACCCAAATCGACCGAGAATTGGCGGTAAGTCGAATCATAGGAAGATGGAAGAACAAGAAAAACTACAAAAGAAGGTAGTATTCAGGACAAATGTCTAGATTGAGACACCGCCTGGGCGGTTCTGGAAGGGCTTTTAACGGGAAACCGGAGTGGTCGAACGGCCGCCTGACCGATACTGTACTGCATAGTATTTCGAATACCGTGCATACTAAATAATCTGAAGGTCGTTTTACACTGTGAACGCTGCAGGTATTTGCATGTGTCCTGAATGTTGAACGTTCCAATGATACTATCAACGTATGCAGGACGTCCTATGTGTGGCTGGGAGCGCAATTACAGACTAACCTCCGGAGAACATCCGGCAGGCTTTAGGCCGCTACATACAGCAAATAGTGCGTTTGGATAACCCGTAACTGCATCCAGGTCTAAGCGATTCCGGAGCCATTTGAGCGATCCGTCACATTGGTGTAACAGCTTCCTAGATTGGCCTAGCTAGGATGTCGAGGCAACTCGTTGAGGCGGCTGGGACTTTCTTTGGATTTAAAAGCATCCTCAGTCGCAAGGAGTTCGTTCTCCAACTAGCTAGACTTCTTGCACTCTTGTCTCCCCTTCATCTTCGTTCCATCCCCTCACTTGGCGAAACAAGCACACAACAGAGGACTTGACAGACAGCACCTTTCAGCTATGAGTACCCCTTTGAAGAGGAAGCCCCAATCGCCAGCATCTGGGTCCCCGGATGTAGCCAAAGCAAAGACCTCAACTACCGGCGCTACATCCCCTGGACCCGCATCTCCCGGTGCGGCACCGCCTGATCCGGCATCTCCTACTGCGAGGACAAAGTCGCCGACACCTGCCGGTGAATCTTCGGTGATTGAGCCAACTGTGCCCCTCCCTGGCTCACACTGGCTTCAGCAAGGCCTTCCGGAGCAGGACGATAATGATGCAGACTCAACCGTAGGAAGTGATATTGACAGTTCGACTGCTTCTATTTCTTCGAGCATCCTCAACTACCGTACCATCAACGGCCGCACCTATCACAGCGATTCGGTAACCGACGGAGAGTATTGGGCTCCTAACGACCCTAAGCATATCGAAGCTCTGGATCTATATTATCATGCCGCCGATATGATGCTTGGTGGAAAGTTGCATCGGGCACCGCTCATTGAGGGTAAACTCGAGAATGCCATCGATATCGGTACAGGCTCAGGACTGTGGGCAATCGACTTTGCCGATAAGTACGCCAAGTGTATCGTGGTGGGAACGGATATTTCGCCTGTCCAACCTAGTTGGGTGCCGCCCAATCTCCAGTTCTTGATCGATGATGCTACTAAGGAATGGACACACCGGGAAAACCATTTTGATTATATTCATATGCAATTCCTCAACGGGGCCTTTGGAGACTTGAAGCGAGTCTATGATGAAGCGTTTCGGTGTTGCAAGCCTGGCGGCTGGTTCGAACATGTCGATTCGTCGGTCATACTTGGGTGTGACGATGGCACTCTCCAAGACCATCACGCACTGGCGCAGTGGGGTAAATTGTACAATACGGCCGCCAAGAAGCTTGGGAGAATTATGACGACGGCTGATGATGGTTTGATGGAGAAGACGATGAGAGACGCCGGCTTTGTGAACATCAAGGTCGTGGATCTGAAGGTATGAGCGCTGGTCAATACTCCATCCCAAGGCTCGAGGGAGTTGCTCAATAGCACATGCTACCCTAGCGACTGACCATCACACCCAAGAGCACTCGCGCTCAAAACTTGTGCGCTAACTTGTGTTTTAGATGCCATTTTCCCCTTGGCCACAAGACCCGAAGGGAAAGGAGATTGGTCTCTATTGCTCCGTGACAGTCTCTTCGGACGTTGAAGGTCTTATCCAGTACATGTTTGGAAATGTGTTGGGGTGGTCGCAAGAGCAGATAACTGTGTATGCTGCTCACGTACGCCGTGAGCTGAAAGATACGAGGATACACGGATATGTAAAGTGGCAGGTGGTGTACGGTCAAAAGCCGGAATAGGGGCGAGTGCAGATAAAAAGGATGAAGGATATGAGGGTGTTCAGTGAGCGAAGGTCCAAAGTCGAGGCATGTGAGAAAATGTGCGGTTGTTGAGACTGGGGATGTTGGGCTGGAGACGCACGGCGACCGATAAAGTTTGTCGTGTGCGGGGTTGTGAGGATTGAACTCCAAATCGGAAAAGGGCTTGGATAGACCGATTTCAATTTTTTTGCAATTGGGGAGAGCCCAAAACACATTCTGGGAAGTGAAATGAAGTCGAGACCTGTGAAGTTGAGAGCATGAAGTTTGTCCAGTAGCCAAGTGGGTCTGTCGTTAACATCTACTGTGAGATGCCAGCGGTCTTTTAAGGTGCACCTAAAATATATATTATAGTTTTACCTGCTGCTTCAACAACCAATTCAGGGCCGCTGGTCTAGTGGTATGATTCTCGCTTAGGGTTCAATCCTGAGCATTCTTGCGAGAGGTCCCGGGTTCAATCCCCGGGTGGCCCCAAATTTTTCTCTCCTACGTTTTTTGTTCTTTATCTTTTTGGGCATCTTGGAAACATCACGCATCTTTCTATTCCGTCTCTCTCGCCAGGTACTCTCTCTCATATTCTGTATAGCACGACATAACTATGCCTTTTAAAATACTCGGTTCGTTTGTTCGTGAGCTGATGACCAAGGATGACAGACGCGACGTTGGATGATCTGCAGCTTCCTAGCTCCCGAGTACCACATTTACACTACAAGGGACGTATACCTTGGTTCGAGGCACAACATGGAAAGAATATTCAGTAGACCGCTGCGTTATCGGATTTCTAGTTCTTACCTGCAAAAGGAACTTTGGCTTTCGATTGCAAGTATCATCTACCACTGAAGGACGCTACTCCCCGATTTATTTACATCTTCTCTTGGCATCCCTCTCCAGCGAACCGTGAGCATACTGGAACGGTATGTCAGCTATCTTACACGCGATACCGCTCCCGTCAAAAATGCCATAGGAGGAAGGAGGGCTGTTTATTTTCAAAACCTCAGCGGATGATGATGCGATCCAGGTCGCTCGGTCCTAATGATAACGTCGGCGGGAGAAACCACACCGTTCACGGTCGCAGTTGCGGTCGCGATTTTGTTGCTGAAAATATTGGGTCAATGCCGGATGCTGGAACATATCACAACACCCATGACTTCCACACCGCTGCACATGAGGCATGGCCGGTACCATCTATGACCGCTAAAACAGCGGATGGAGATGGGGAGAATGATAGATCGAATGACAACCAATCGCCGAGGCCTCACGTCCATTACCCATACGACAACTCAATGGGCACCACCCCGCTTCTCATGGACACTCTGTCCACTGCTTCCAATGCGGACCTTCCCAGCGTCTGCCGTCGTTCGACCGTTCGATCTGGTATTTTCAAGACCGTCGATGACTTCCAAGACTTTGATGTTGGTGGGCCTGGCTGGCACCGTACGCAGATATCCTACAACCAACTTCTCAGATGTGATGCTAAAATGATTTTCTACAGCCGGCGCAGAACCAGGGCTAGACCCCAAGAAGGCAGACGGAGGACATGCCTCAATGTCTACTCTTAGTGCGCCATGTGATATCACAGTTGTCGACTTCTCACATCATCGCCTTGCCACACATAGGCGTGATAACGAAACACTCGCCGCGTTCATGAACCTGCCCCAGCCGGAATGGGTCAAATGCCGCTGGGTCAACGTCAATGGCCTGAGTTGGGATGTAATCCAGTTACTAGGCCGGGACAAGAGTGCTCCAGAAACTTGTTCACGTACAGGATTCAGATTCCGAAGACAGTGATTCGGAGTACGTCGATAGCGACAAAGCGAAAGGCAACGGGAGAAAAAGTGAATGGGGTGGCAATGGCGGTCCAAACCTCTATAGCCGCTTGAAAGAATATCTCACCCGTACAAGACATGATCCTCCGGACCGAAGGCTCGAGAGGTGAAGTCCTAATCTACCAGGTAATCTTCGAGACCAGACCGGCCCCTACCCAACCTCCTTCCGCCATCCAAAACTTCGCGGGCTTCGGACACTACAGACATACCACTCGAGATTTGATGAGCCACGCACACATTACATGCAGCAACACTCAGCCTTAGTGTCTAGGCATCTTGTCGTTGCCTGCGAACAAGTCGCAATGTTCGTCACTCACGATAACACCATCATCAGTTTCTTCGAGAGTTCAGCGGTAGACGTTGAAACTCCCATCATCCGCCGCCAGACCAGGGACACCATCGTTCGGCAATCTTGTGACGCTTCCATGGTCGGCCAGGCTATCATCAATGCCATCATCGACCTAGCGATGCCGGTGATTACGTGTTATACCGAAGTTATTGGCGATCTCGAGCTTGACATGCTTACCAAGCTCAACATCAAGCATACCAAGAGCCTTTACATTCTCGTCACCGAAATGAACAAGATGCTAGGCTTCATAAACCCGGTAATCACTCTCATTAACGCTCTCCGCGACCACAAACGAAAATGCTACAATACGTAGCAACCAGGAATCTCCAAGACCCGAGCCATGGCGTCATCATCACACCGACAACCTACATTTACCTTGGGGACGTCCTTGATCACTGCCTCTTAATCACCGAGTCACTGAATCAGCTGAAAGGCTCGGCTGAGGGCATGATTGACCTCATCTTCAACACCATACCGGCGAACCAGAACGAGTCCATGAAGCAACTTACAATAGTCACCATTATCTTTCTTCCCCTGACCTTTATTACCGACTACTTTGGTCAAAACTTTGACCAATTTCCCGGGCCGGGTTGCTCCGTTGACCACTTGTAGGTGACACTGACACAGGATACCTCTAGCAGTTACCGCTCTGCTAATATCGAACGAATAGCTGGAAAATTGCGGTTCCCGTGGTGTTGGCTACAGGCCTCCTGCTACTGGCACAGGCCATTTACGAATATTGCAAGTCGTGGGCGCAACAGCTCCGTATCGGACGGTTGAAAAGGGTGCGGAAGAGACGCCGAGAAAAGAACCGAGTATAGATATAGACCTACCCGCTTACGGCCATTCGGTAAATAATCACGGTCTACTATTCTTTGTCAGCCCTTCTCACGTGTATCGATATATGTTGCCTACAATGGCACGCAACGTGCACGGCCTAAGTTCAGCATCAATAAAAACCCCCATCAAGGTCTAACGCACGACCTTTCAAGTTCTCATGGATGCACTTACCGACCTCAAGCACTGCCGTGCGGGGCAGAATTGAAGCGGAAGAAGTGATTTAGGCGGCGGTACAAGTGCTACTCTGGCCACTTCGTTTGCGGGCAGATACCGCATATGAAGCGTTTGGTCCCGTTCGACTGTCAAGACCTAACCCAGTCATATCCATCGTGGGATTTTCCAGTCGGACTCATCGTGCCTTCAAGTCAGAAAGGAACTCACCCATACCGACAGGTGCAGACCGAGTCGCAGAAAGAGCAAATAAAATGACACCAAATGCAGGACCGACCGAGGCCCACGAGCATAGCTCTGGCCCGTCCAACTTAATGGATCAAGCACAGCTGCTGTATGTCGATGGCCGATACCAACCCAGCTCAGACGGCGCTACCTTCCTTGTGAACAACCCAATGACCAGCCATCGCATATACAATTGCGCATCAGCTTCCGTCGACGACTACAGCCTCGCCATCGAGAACGCCCACGAGGCATATCAGTCATGGTCCAAAACAGGTCCTACCGCTAGACGGATGATCTTCTTGAAGGCTGCGGGTATACTCGAGTCGTATCTACACCGGGATGCTGGTGAGATAATGTCACAGGAGATATCGGCGCCAGATTACTGGGTGAAGATCAACATCCACTCCACCGCCGGAACACTGAGGGAAGTCGCCGGTCTGGCCACTCAAATACGAGGCGAAGTCATCCCGACAGACCGCCCCGGGACAACGGCATTCATGGAGAGGCAGCCAGTTGGGGTCGTGTTTGGGATAGCTCCCTGGAATGCTCCCGTAGGTGATGTAAAGCGTGCTTTCGAACTGGGTATCCTTTGGGAAGCGCTGACAAGTATCAATAGGTGAATCTCACGGCAAGGGCTATCGCCTGTCCTCTCATCTGCAGGAACACAGTCGTGTTGAAGCCATCTGAGTACAGCCCCAAGAGCCAGCATCTAGTTGTGCGAGCCTTGGCCGCCGCCGGACTGCCGCTAGGATGCCTGAACTTCCTCCCCACGAGCCCCAAGAGAACACCGCAGGTGACCGAGTTTGCCGTAAAGCACCCAAAGGTTCTCCGGGTCACCTTTACTGGAAGCGACCGGGTGGGAAGAATCATCGGCGGTTGGGCAGCCGAATGTGTAAAGCAGTGCATCTTGGAGCTGGGCGGCAATGCACCGGTTCTTGTCTTTGACGATGCCAACATCGATGAGGCTGTTGAGGCTGTGGTGTTCGGCGCTTGGTCATAGAGTGGGCAGATTTGCATGTCGACAGAACGTGTGCTGCTTCACCGATCCATCAGCGAGAAGTTCAAAGCGAAACTTCTAGCTAAGGTCGCAACTGTGAAGACCGGGAACCATCTGGAGTATTTCGGCGTCTCGTTCTCGGGCCTCTTCACGCCGGCATCAGCGAGGCGCGTCATCGAACTGGTGAAGTCAGCAGTTCACGGCGGCGCGAAGCTGCTTGCGGGCGATGTGGAGATCACGGGCCCCAACAAGACCATTGTGAGGCCTCATATACTGGAAGGGTGAAGCGGCATATGGATATTGCGGAGCAGGAGTCGTTTGGTCCCGTCATGATCATCTCCGAATTCGAAACGGATGAGGAAGCAGTTGCGTTGGCCAACGATAGCGAGTTTTCACTCTGTGCAAGCGTTTTCTCGACGGATGTTGTCAGAGCACTTGACAATGCAAGGCAGGTTCGGGCAGGCGCTTGTCATATCAACGGGCCTACCGTATATGTTGAGGCAACTCTGCCGCAAGGAGGGACCGGTGGAAGCAGCGGTTATGGCCGGTTCAGTGGGATGCCGGGGTTGAGGCCTTCACAGAGAGGAAGATTGTTACCCTCGCTACATCCAAGCTGATATGCGTTCTGACGTAGTGCGAGTCATGACTTCTTGACCCCATCACACATGGCGGTATTAACGTTACAATGGGCTGATGCTTCCTGCCCACCGCCGTCAAGTGTAAGCAATGACTGACTCCGATGATTGACTGTTCATGTTGATAGACATAATTGTCGAGGCTTACGGAAATGCAGTGCCGGGTCGTAAAGCTGAGGCTGTTTCGGCCTTTTGCCATATGGGGCTTATTCATCCCCCAGGCTGTTCCCATACTCTAGCGCTTCAGCCGACCACCTGACGCTGGTGAATACGAGGACCCGACTAACGGCAATTGGTGCTTGGCTTGACTCCAGGTTCCATCAATGGGAGAGAAAACTTGGAAGGGCAGCCGGCTTGCATATCGGCACCATCCTAGTCTCCATTGGCGGCCACGACGGGATTTCCTATTGCGGTCACTGACGATCAAATACTGCAATGTCACTGGACGTTCAAGAGTGAAATCGGGAGGGCCAGGCCGACAACTGATGGACTTACAGTGTAACCGGAAAGGCTGGCGTGGTCGACCCTGCAGAAGCCTCCAGAGGAATCGTGCAGAATCGGCCTGCTCGGGATGAATAACTGCACAACCACGGCATAAACCACATGGGCCGATGCTGATCGATGTCAGCGCGGAGAAACATGTGCTGGCGGTCCAATCAAGCGCTCGGTTATGGAGAAGAGGAGGCTGACCAAGGGGCCCGGAAAGGTTACCTGAGATCGCTGCTACCGACGACAGTCTATCGGTCAGCGGTGCCACGGAATACAATACGAGACATTCCACCCAGAGACACTACCCATTGGGCACGTTGCTGCAAAGATGGACCCTCGGATGGGGTGGTAGTCAAGGATCTTGATGGTCCTACAGTGACACCAGCACGACCAGGTGGACCAGCTATGTAGTGATATAAAGTATCGAGTCGCCTCCCTCTGCTTTGTGTCCGATGGTGGTAGAACCTAGATCATCATCAGAATCTCACTCATCGATCTCAACATGACGAAATTCACTCTCATCGGCGCGGCTCTTCTTGCCCTCGGCAACAGCGCCGTGAACGCCTTGAACAGCTGTGGAGAGTCACAGTACGATCCTGCTCAGGTATGTCCTGAGGATTGAGACCCGAGTGCTGCTGGCCGAATCCATCCAACTAACACGTGGATGATAGTATGTCTGCTGGAGCGATCAGTTCCTCTGCCCCATCACGGCTGGCGAGCCCCTCTCGTTCTGCAACGGAGCGTGCTACAGCAAGTTCATGTACAAGTGCGAGAACAATGTCCTGAGCTTGTTGCCCGCTCACACTGGAACGCCCTTCACCCTCACCGTGTCGAATCCGACGTTGCCTATCGACGGCAAGCCCGTGACTGCCAGCGGCCTGCACCTGAGCCTTGCGGGCAACACCAGCACCTACTGCCCTGTCGAGGTGGTGGGGGCGGCGTGCCCTCCCGGCAACATCACAGCCTTTTTCGCCGGCAACGGCGGCCTCTCCATGGACACCATGGTTCCCGGCGGACAGCAAGCCTATCTCGGACCCGACTGGAACATGCACTACACCCAAGCTCACTCGGCCTACATTCCCGCGGGCAGCCTGACTCAGGGCTTTGGTGCGTATGAGGGCGGTGGTTTCGTCAATCTGAACGGCAACGGCTGGGGCTGGGTTGCTTGCCCTCCCCAGGCCTCTGGCGGTGGTGGTAGCGCATGGAACCTGGTGGGAAGAAACGAGACAAACGCGGCTAGCCTGACCGCCTGCACTCCCGTCAACCTCAAGATCAACCCTCTCCCGTCTGGAACTGTTGGTGCCTGGCAGTATGCTTAAGAAAGGGTTTCGAATATCGTCTTTCTAGGGAGGGGTCGTGTAGATAGGTTGGAATAGTGTCATTCTGTACCACGAGATCTACGACCGTGCTTCCGGTGTAATGTACTCGAAGAGTGAGTGTTTGCAGAACGACGCGTGGTGGCCGGCAGGCAATGGTATAGGTACAACAGCTGCTGTCTCGGAACTGCCGATGAGAAAACAGAACATTAGCAACGGCCAGGAGTGTTCCCAGAATCCCGCAATGAATAACCCTTGGACCTACAATATAGCCGAATGGCAATTGGGACTAATGATCTCTTCGTATTTCCTCACCGCCATCCGTGTATTGTATCGTCTTGGATCAGTCGGAAACTCTAGAATCAAGCCAGAGTAGGGGGCGTACCAAACATCGGTGGACAGCTTCGGGTTCGAGAGAGACAAGTACTCTATGGAAAACCAGCATTGACAACATGCGAGACGAAACGTTCCATCCGGCGAGACATTGTTGTTCGACGTAGAGTATGGTGGATCCGAACTTGGCGGCTTCTTGGTCTTCGGTCCTCGGTCAACATGTGGAAATACAACGTGGTGTTCCCAGCCTGGGGCGTCGTGCTGTGTACGGCAGTTGGCGAGACATGATTATGATCGCTCCGTGATTGGGGGTCTGATTCCCGGACCTGTGCTCGAAGATCCCGCCGTTGGTGAAGTAGTGCGTGGTAGGTTTTCTAACCGTCGGAAGTCGCGCCTTGTCAAACACAGGGCAGAGAGAGAGGCAGGAAACCAGCAAAGAGCCACCGCAAGAGTGGAAGTAAAATCGAAAAGTGGAAGGCGTGCTCCTGACGGGGAAGATGCCCGCCCAACTTGCCCAGGGGCGCAGGTTCTGGAGAAGGCGCTAACAGCCCTATGAGTGCCCCGCTAACTGATCCACGTCAACTCGCTTCATTATCTAGTATTGGTAGAACTTAGTCGAAAATTCATCATTCATTCAATCATTCCCTTAGGTACAGTACCTACCCTCACTACCGACACTGCAGGGGCAGCGGGTTACGCCTGTAAAACCCCACCAAGAGATACCCGACAAACAGTACACCTACGGCACTTCTCCCGTTTCAATGTTCATCCGTTGTCCACATATCTCACCTTGGCCAGAATAGCTCACGATGTCCCAGGTGAGGGCGGTTTCCATAGTCAGCACACCTTCATCGCAGAATTCTGCCCTCTCACACTGCTACCCAGCATGCGGCGACAAGACTGCAATGGGGTAGTATTTCGTTGAGATCATCCAGCGTCACCAAACCCATTCTCTCCAGCAAACTCAGCATTTAAGACTCTACCGTAGACTACATGAATAGCCGAAGCACACCAACAGGCTGCCATTTCCCGGCATTTGGTGGGGACTTATACGTTGACTGGTCCTCCTCCGACTGGCTGGCTTCACCTTTACACATGCAGGGCGCCCGACAACTATAGCAGATGAGGTTAGAGTTCACCGTTTGACCGTCCATCGTATCAGTACCGGCGGCTGCTTATGCCTCGATCAACAAAAGGCAAGAATTACAATAGCGGGACCGATGGCTTCTGGTGCTGGTATAAGACCATCGCCATGGATCTCGTCCGGTCGGCTCGGCCAAGGGACATTTCTGCTTCGACGCGAGGACTAGACCACCGGATACCAAGCACCACATCTGCCACCTGACTGCTGAAACCATGGCTTCACGCCGCGACGAAATTATAGCCTTGACCGAGAGGATCGAGGCCCTTATAGACGACTCTCAGACCGTTATCGGACTTAACAACGATCCGCTACGTCGGAGGCTCCGTGAAGCTGGAAGGAGGTTGAGCGCTGCCCTTGAAACCCCGGGAGATACAGCTCACCGAGTCATTTACTCGCCTCTGCATCTGGCCACCGCAAAGATTGGAGTCGACAAAGGCATTTTCAAGCTCCTGGCAGAAGCGGACGATGCTACTCCTACGGCTGAAGAGCTAGCCTAAAAGACGGATATCGATCCTGTCTTGATGAAGCGTTTGCTGCGCTACTATCAGGCCTTCAACTATATCCGCCAGCCGGCCGACAACCAATATGGAGCAACTACTGTTACCAAGTCCATAACTGGCTTTGCTCTGACCTCTGGGGCTGGGCTGTTCTATCATATGAACGCCCCGACATTCATGGCTTTGCCCAAATTTCTCGCCAAAAACAACTACCAGAACCCGAACGACATCTCAGATTGTCCCTTTCAGGTCGGCCACAATACCGACCTATCTCTGTTTCCCTGGTTTCAACAGCGACCAGAAATGGGCCCCGACTTCCTCAACTGGATGAACAGCCACTGCAGTGACCTGCCGCGATTCTATGACAGCTATGATATCAAACAGGAGCTGTGGCAGAATGCTGATGCAGATACAATCCTGTTTGTTGATGTTGGGGGAGCCCATGGACATCAAACTATTAGCCTCAAACAGAAATACCCCAACCAGCCAGGCCGCTTTATCCTCCAAGACCAAGGCTTTGTTGTTGACCAAGAAGGCCACGCCGTTGCCTGGCTTCGATGGCATAGGGGCTCAGGTTCATGATTTCTTCACTCCTCAGCCCCTTAAAGGTAGGTCATCAGCATCTCCACATAGCCTTTACGCTTTTTCGTCCAGAGCATGGCTGCTAACACCAAAATAACAGGTGCTCGGGCGTACTACTTCCGCAATGTCTTCCACGACTGGTCGAATGACATATGCGCCAAGATACTGGCGAACATCAGACCAGCAATGGCCGAGGACTCGGTCATCTTGATCGATGAGATTGTTCTGTCTGAGCGCGGCTCTATTTGGCGAGCCACTCAGTTTGACATTGCCATGCTGACTTTGTTGGGGGCATCGGACCGTACGGCTAATGAATGGCACACGGTGTTAGGTGAGGCCGGCTTCAAGATAAAGAAGATACGCCAGTATACGGAGGAATGTCAACATGGATTGATTGTCGCAGTTCCCAAGTGACGATAGCTAGTCAGCATACATAGCTTCAAGATAATTCACTCGTCAGAAGCTCTCCGAATTCCCATCTTGACCATGGATCATCTATCTTTGATGAGCCAAGATGTGCAGTCTGCACGGACATACATGGAAGGAAAGCCCTTCAAACGGGTAGAGAAATGCTCTTACTGCAGTGCCGCGAAGCAAGTAGTAAAATGGCATGTTCGCGACTTTCCCTTCTAAAGACTTTCCGCAATCTTTTTTCGTCACTCTTCTACACCCGCGTATTAGAGAACTCATATTCATAACTAACCATCTCTTGCACGTTAACCATAGGAATTGAACTCTTCAATGGCAATAGCCGACACATCTGCATCACTCGTCACCACGCTCATGGCTGAGATATTGTCCGGTGCCACTCTTCTACTTTCACAGCTAAAATCGATGACCCTGTGGAGCGATTTCTCGAAGACATTGAGGAAGCCTAACGTGGCACAGAGCCATACACGCTCTCGCCGTCGGGCCAGTTGAAACCGCAAAGTGCAAATTATTACTTCACCGAACCAGAACCGGTTTTGTCGCCCATTCAGCCTGGGACAAACCCCTCGCTACTGACGAGAAGATGCGCGCCTGTGCTTGGTCCCGTCATGCCGAGATGCTCCCTGCCGTATCCAAGCTCGTTGACATGCTCAAGCGGTACCCCGACTCCTCTGAGCCACAGGATACGGCTCTCTCGCTGGCGTTTGGAGATACATTCTTTGGGTGCAAGGAGAGGCACCCGGAGAACATGGTCAATGTTGGGCAATTTGTTGATGCCCTCTCTGGTGGTAGCTCTGCCGATTCAGCGGAAAGCATTGCATGAGCCTACCCTTGGGAGACACTACCGAACGGAGCGCCGGTGGTCGATGTTGGCGGTGGCATCGGATCTGTTTCCGCTGCTATTGCACAGGTACATCCTCATTCAGGTTCCAGATGCAGAATTTTGAAGATCTGAGAGGCACGGCCGAGGAGTTGATGGAGAGCAAGGAAGTCAAGGATAGAGTCGAGTTTGTGCTGCGTAACTTCTTTGACCACCGACCGGAGCCAGCAAGTTGAGCCACTGTTTACTTCATGAGGAACATTCTCCATAACTGGTTTGACTTGTACTGCAGGCAGATTTTGAAGCCGATCGCGGAGGCTATGGGGAAGGAAAGTAGGATCGTCAATTGCGATATCGTCTTGCCACAGCCAAATTCGGTGCCCAGGACGCAGGACGTAATTACCATGGCACTGGTCTTGAAAATGGTATCTATGTTAAATGCGAAGGAGCTGTTTGCGAGTGCTGATAGCAGGCTTGAAATTTCCGACGTGGTAGGGAGGCCCCGAATGGGGATGGACAATCGGTGGAGGTCAGGGTGTCGCACTGAAAGTAAATGTATGTTATTATCCAGAAGAATACAAAAATTCAATACAAGAAATCTTTCACGGGGTCCCGTCTGAGGAGGCTCATTTCGGTGAGGAAAAAACATGTTTTAAATTGGGCTAGATATGGGTTCTCTGAGCATCACCCTGATAACTCTGACCTACTACTCTGTCACTCCCAAGTCACTCTTCTCTTGATCATCCAACAGCCCCAGCGCTTGGCGCCGTGTTGGAGCATTTGGATCATAGTAAGGGACCTCAGCCAAAGACGTCACTCGGGTTCCGTGGCGGGGGTGTCTGCCACCATAATCCCAACTGGCGTTGTGGATGGTAATTCTGGCACGTTTCACTCGCGGGTAAGTTACTGTTCCCAAATACATATTCAAAAAACGAAAGATCACTCACCTGTTATCCCACAATGCGCTGGTCCCCGGTGTCCACTTGAAGCGCACTTGAATGTCGACATTCTTCTCATAGACATCATACAAGTAGTTCAAGATCACATCGCTTTCGGCCTTATCAAGCCCCACGATCCTTACCGTCATGGATCGATTCACCCACAACGCCTTCCACCCTGTGGCCGGATGAACTCGCACAAGCGGGTGCGTGCGCTCGATGTACTTGGGCCCGGCATTTGGATCCTCTCGATCAAGATATGGGTGTGCAGAGCGGTACACGGCATACTTGCCGTCGATGATCTTGCGGAACTCAGGCGACAGCTTCTCATAAGCGCTGTAGCCAGACGCCCAGAGCGTGTCCCCACCGGTAGGAGGCACCGTGTCGTTGTGCAAATGGGTGATACCCGCCGGTTGGCGCTCATGGACGAGATCGCTGTGCCAATTCGAGGCACCGCCAGGACGACGAAAGTCGGCCGGTCTCTCCAATGTGAAGAGATCCGGCCAGATGACGGTCACGCCTGGGATGCCGGGCACTTGGGGGGGTTTGGGGATGAACTTCAACCTCGCCGAACCACTCCCCCAGATCCTTCTGTTGCTGTGGAGTGAGATCCTGGTTGCGGAAGAAGACGACGCTCCGCTCGGCGATGAGGAGCGCTAGCTCATCCCGCTGCTCTGGGGTGAGGTCCTTGAGTTGAAGACCTTCGATTTCGGTCCCGATGTGTGTGGTCAAGTCGGTCACCTTGGTTGTTGCCGAGAGGAGATTCTTCTTTGACTTGTCTGCTCGAGCACCTGCGTCTTCGTAAGGTCGCTCCTCGTTGCGAATCTTGTAGACATCTTGAAGGTAGAGAGGAACGGATGGCCGGTATGGGTAACCCTTGGAGAGGTCAATTCCAGCTTTGGTAAGACGTTGACGTGCTGGCTCCGGAAGAGGGAGAGTCTCCTTTCTGGGTTCAATCGTGTCAACGATGGTCTCAAGAATCGCTGCTGGCGCCATGTTGTGGATGGACTTGGGAGATATTGTGCTTTATCAAAGGGGTGGTAAATGTGGTAAGTGTCTTGGTAAGTGTCTTGGTAAGTCAAGTATCGACGTCTTCTTGGCCTATGACTCCTCTGCCTATTCTCTTTTGTGGATATACTGCATGTTTTATGTCTCTCACAGTCCAGGAGTCAGACTCACTCACTAGTAACCAACGTATAATCGTTTCTCCAGAAGTCGTGCATCCTGCTAGTCAAATTGGGACAAGTATCACACCGACCGAGGTGTGATTATCAAGCAAAAGATCTTGATTACAATTGTGATTGCTACCCTTATCTATGGCCAAATCTGTTTTCGTTATTGCGGGATTGAAGACACATACATGCTCGTCGTGAGGGGTTCACCTCTATCGTGATGTCTTTTTGAAGCCTCCAGTATATCAGTTGGGAAAGCGACAATGCAATGTGTCCCAATGAACAAAGAGCATGGGCTGGTATCCAATCGGTGGTTTTACAACATATGCGACGGGAACGGGTTAGGATGTCTGATATGCCCAAATGGTTGGTGCCCTCCTTTGATCTCATCTTGCGCCATCCGCTGGGGTGGATTGTGTGCTCTGCTGCATTTGAACACTTGCACCATCAACAATTATCTCCGCCAACCCCATCGGGTTTATGCACCAAAACATCCATGGAACAACCAACACGGGAATAAAGTCTGGGTCTGGACTAGACTTCACCCCCACGCAGAGCAAGTGATGGACTAGCCATAGCAACACCGAAGCCCATGGCACCTTTTCTCGACCCGGTGGCGATGCCTGCTACTCATGGCTGTTGATATGGACACAAAAGGACTCCAAAATAACCAAGACCCTCGAGGTCGTACCCGTCAGCCTCATGACAATACTGGCATTGTCGTCCGAGCAACATGTCGAAAACCCCAGTGTCCGACGCCGTCACCAAGGACGATATCCAGGGTCCATCCAGTTCGATCAAAGGTTCCAGCCATGAGTACAACTCAGATTCACAATCAACTGAGCCCGTGCAAGGAAAGCCAAAGAGGAGTTGGCGGTCTTACCTCTGGGATACATTGGACAAGTCTCCCGAAGAAAGGCGCTTCCTGTTCAAGCTCGATGCGGTGATTCTGACTCTGGCGTCTCTGGGATACTTCATCAAGTATCTTGACCAAGTCAACATCACCAATGCCTTCGTGTCCGGAATGAAGGAGGATCTGAAGCTGTTTGGCAGTGAGTTGAACTACATGCAGACATGCTGGACGGTGGGATATGTCATTGGCGAGATTCCAAGGTGAGCCACAACTCTCGATTCCTTCTTTGCAGCCCCCAGACTAGTGCTAACGATATGATAGCAATCTCTTGCTGACTCGCATCCGGCCGTCCATCTGGATCCCGGCTTGCGAGGTTGTATGGGCAATTTTGACCATCTTGCTCGCTAAATGCAAGACCACGACCCAGATCTACGTCTTGCGTTTCTTCATCGGCCTGACTGAGAGTGTCTTCTACCCGGGCATGCAGTACATCATCGGCTCATGGTACCGCAAAGACGAGCTGGCAAAGCGATCCTGCATCTTCCACGCCAGCGGCGCCATAGGTACCATGTTCTCCGGGTATCTCATGGCCGCAGTCCACAAGAACCTAGCCGGCGTCGGAGGATTCAAAGGCTGGCAGTGGCTCTTCATCATCGACACGGTCATTTCGCTGCCCATCGCCATCTCAGGCTTCTTCCTCATGCCAGACCTGCCCGAGATTACCAAAGCGTGGTACTTCTCCGCGGACGAGATCGCCCTAGCAAAGGAACGCATGCGTCTCGAAGGTCGTGCTACCAGATCTCCATACACCAAAGCCAAGTTCAAGAAGATCTTCTCCAGTTGGCACATCTATCTCCTCACTGCACTCTACATCTTCTTCAACAATGGTAATGGAGCCTCCGGCCAACCTGCGTTCCAGCTGTGGCTCAAGTCTAAGGGACACTCCATTACCGAGATCAACACATATCCGACCATCACAGCCGCCATCACCGTAATCACAACGCTCATTTACGCATGGACGTCTGATACCGTGTTTCGCGGCGCTAGATGGCCGCCCATTATCTTTTCAGGTCTGGTGAACATCGTGATATACTCCAGTCTAGCAGCGTGGGATATCCCGGACGGTTGGAAATGGGCCTGCTTTTTGCTGGCAGGCTTTGGCGGTGGTATCAGCGGGCTGACGTTTGCTTGGGCGCATGAAATTTGCGGCGACGATAACGAGGAAAGAGCGCTGGTGACGGGTACCATGAATGAGATGGCCTATGTCATTCAGGCGTGGTTGCCCTTGTTGATTTGGCAGCAGGTGGAGGCGCCGGTGTACCACAAGGGATATATGACGTCGATTTTCATCGCGGTTGCCATGATAGCCACTGCGTTCTTGATTAGGTTTTTACATCACAAGGAAAGAGCGAAGAAGCTGATCGCGGAAGAGCAAAACGCTTGAACTGGCTGATGGCGGATAGGTAACAGAGATTCGGACAATAATTGATTCACATGGCAATTTGGAACTTTCCGTAAAGTGTGAAGGATAGAATGAGAAAGTGCAAATCAATTATCCGTCAGTGTTGACTTGGCCATATCGTGCTGTAAACAATCGACGGGACATGTTTAGCCAACTGAGGCCTTCTGATTGCTCGATCTGCTGTTGGAATGGCATCTCGTCATTCAAGGGAATATGATGTGAGGTCGTTGTGCGGGGGTCACTGGTCAGCTGTATCATTGTCGGCTTTTATTTGATAACAACCACCCGTCGTCTATTGATACGCAATCCGATGGGAGATTACGTGCTTTGTTAATCGTTCCTGAATGAGACGACTTGACGGACGCGGAGTAATGGGTTCGGCCGCGGTAGGCCTCGATAGTGTTGAGGAGATATAATGACAATAGACAATTCGGAGGTTGCCGCACAGAGAATAAATTGTTGCAACAAAGCAATTCCTAGCTTCTGCATCATTCTCCTTGTTAGCCTTCACTTAGTTTTGCCTTCAACCTTGATATCATGTCCGCCGCAACAGCAACAGCGGGATTCCATCATGCATTTGTTCCCCATCTACCTCTGAAGGCTGACCGACACACTCATCTTGAAACCAAAATAGCCATGCCTCTCATCGTCAATACAGACTCCGAATCTGATTTCACAACGGTTCCAGAATCTCGATTTGGGGTGAACAAGATGGTGGCAGTGATAGGCTCAGGCATCAGCGGAGTCTGTGCCGCTGCTCATCTCCTCAAGCATGGGCTCTCCGTGACCGTCTTCGAACGGTCCGACGGCTCCGGTGGCGTATGGAAGTTCGATGAGCGTCCACCGGAAGACCCTCCTTATGTTTACCGTCCACCATCATACGGAGACCAGCACCAAATCCCCTCAGATGCCGTTTATAGGGGTTCAAACACGGATCTCTCTCGTCTTGAAGTGAGATTCGCGCCCCCGAGCCCGTGTTACGCAGGGCTGAAGACCAATGTCCCAACACCATTGATGGGAACAGCGTTGGGAGACTGGCCCGAGGGAAGTCCAGAATCCGTCAGTCATTCCGCTGCTCTTCAATACATCCGTTCTTTGGCCAAAAGGTCCGGATTAGATGCAGTGACGGAGTTCCACACCCGAGTCGAGGACGTTAGAAAGACAAGCGAAGGTTCGAAGTGGAGGATCACTACCTTGACGATGGAAAAGGACGACGGGATTCTTGGCGCTCGGTTTATCCAAAGAGTCAGGGATTTTGACCTGGTTGTTGTCGCTTCGGGACATTACAATATGCCACGCATTCCGCAAATCGAAGGCCTTAAAGAGTGGAAGGACACCTTCTCTGACAGAGTTATTCACTCGAAGAGGTACCGGAATCCTGAGAAGTACCGGGACCAGAACGTGCTCGTGATCGGAGCCGGCGTTTCCGCTACCGACGTCTGTAAGGAACTCGGCAAGATATCCAACAAGACGTACCAGAGCACCCGTAACGGACGATTTGATCTTCCGGCGAGCGTACTGCCTCCGAACGCCGTACGGGTGGCGGCAGTGGAGAGATTTGCCCCCCCAGAAGCAGAAGTTGAAGGGGACGAGCCGACACTCGGGAACAACCAGCCAATACCCAGGTCTGTTGTGCTCATAGATGGAACAGTCCTACATGATATCCATCAAGTAGTGATAGCGACCGGATACATTGTGTCATACCCTTTTCTCCCACAGTTGCACTCGGATATAACGGTGGATGCCAATCCTGACGACAAGCTGGTGGTGACATCGGACGGCGTCATGACGCACAACCTTCACAAGGATATCTTCTACATCAACGACCCGACACTGGCTTTCATTGGCGTTCCCTACCACGTCGCGACCTTTTCACTCTTTGACTTCCAGGCCCAGGCGTTGGCGAGGGTGTTCGCCGGTAGGGCAAAACTGCCGACGCAGGAAGACATGCGGAAAGAATATGAGGAGCGCGTGGAGAGCAAAGGGCGGGGACGTTTCTTCCATTCCCTAGTAACACCTGGGCATGAAGTTACCTATGTCAAAGATCTCGCGGAGTGGGTAAACAGCCATGTGAAAGAAGCGGGAGGCGAACCCATGCCTGCTCATTCAGATGAATTTTTGGAGGAGTATGAAGTATTGAAGAGCAGGATAAGGGGCCTGTACCCGGAAGTTGCCAAGAATAATGGGAGGGTGCAGGAATAGGGATCTGAAAGCAACGCTCATTGTAACATGTCTGCTGTTAATTTCCCCATCAACTAGACAATGTAAATATCTTGTTTTTCTCCGTCGTGAAGCCACTGATACTGAAGCTTATACGTCTCGTTGAACTCATCATTGCTCATGTGTACACCATGTCCAGGTTCATCCATGTATCCATAGTGAAAGATGCCGACTCTCTCATACCTTCCACTTTGAGCGGATTGTTGGAGAACTATGGCTTGCACATGAGGCCCCCAAGGGTCTTGAAGTTCTTTTTCAAGCTTCTCCTTCAAGTACTTGTAGTGCTTATGCGTTTTGATTGCCTTCAGGCGCTCAGAACGGGTCCACGGTATGTCGGTGGCCATGGGAAGTAGGAAGAGCCGGGTTTTGTCTTGACGAGTATCAGCCTCGAATGCGGGCAAGAAGACATCGAACTGGACGTGACCGAAAATGAGTTCTTCCGATCCCTTGATATCACTTGTGAACAAGTATATGGACGGGTGAAGGCGTGGTTTAGGCGGAAGACTGTCCAGTCTCGCCATGTCTGGGTCGGTTGGGTCAACGGTGCCTGTCTCAGGATTGAAACCGATTGCAGTGGGAGCCCCCGCCCGTAGAGGTACCCTTGGGAGTCGTGAATCTCGCCAGCTAGGTGGCCGTTTGATGGTTGTCCATTCTTCCACAGGAGGTTGCCACCAATAGACAGGCTTCAAACGCCCGTGAAAGGTCAACGCTGCAGAGCGAAGGCCAATAATCTCCGAGCCTGGAGAGTCATGTAGTGGTGTTAGATCCCACGATACAATATTTCCGTGCCTCTCTGTATCCATGTCTCTTGCCTCCTGATCATAAAGAGCGTTCCCATTGAGATTTGCAGGGCCGACCATTGCAACCCATGACCAAGTTGGACCACAATAGCCCCCTTCTGGTCGAGGCCAGAGATACGAGGAGCCTCTTCCCCACAGAAGTGCCCGAGGCATCATATCGGCCCAGAGTCCAGCGACATAACCGCTCTTATTCTGAGAGTGGAAGACCTGCGCTATGGCGGAAATGGCAGGAAGTCGATCGGTATAAAAGTTTAGCTGCCGGAGTGTATATCGCTCTACGACGCGTGCCCATTGGCTTGACCGGGTTTTCATATCCTTCGAGATCCCCAACGCGGCTAGTTGGCCTATCAATTGCTTTTCAATCTTCTCATACCATGACCCCTTGGCCTTTCCACTGGTCTTTCCAGGCCGTTTCTTCTTGGCTTTGGTGTCGGCCTTGCGCTGAGCTTCAGGATATTCCCAGCAGGCCAGCTCCTTTGCGACAATACCCATCGAGCTGTGATCTTCGTCGGGTCCAGGTTTCTCCCAGCCATCGGTCCACTGAGGACGCCCATGCGCTGATGTGTCCTCAGACTCTTGACACCACCATATTGTTTGAACCGCCCCGAAGTCAATGATACGTGGCGATAGCAACCTTTCTTGGAAGCACCAAGCTCGTTGGCTGATATAGCTGGCTTTGTTTGCCTTTGAAATGTCGCTACGGCCCATGTTCTCAAAGTCTTGCCTCGGAATCAAGAAAACGCAAGGTTCGCTTGCAGGCAGGTGACCGCGGAGACCAAATCCAGGGATATTTCCGATGGGGCGGTCTTGGAGAAAGCCTTTTTGCACGGCTTCCGCCCGTGAGGCTACCAATGTCACCAGCGCGCAGCTATAGATCATGGACATCTTTCCTAGTTCTCTACCCTTGTCATCGTTATCGTCCTGGATGATGCAAAGTACGTCAATCCAGAGGTACTTGATGCCCAGCGAGATGGTGACATTGATGGCATCACTGAGAGTTTGAGGGAGCTCTTCAGGTTTGATATGCTCCAAGAGCTGGATCCTCGTGCTTTTGGTGAGCTTCAGGGGCTGGTCTCCACCCCAGCAATACGATAAGGCGGCGAAGGGCTCGACATTATCTTTCTCGCAAGTCTCGCATAGTCGAGCTTCTACGAATCCTTCGGGCGTCTTGGAGAGTTCTAGTAGCCTAGTTGGGACAAACTCGCTTGGCTTTGGACACTTGCGGTGGGTCCTACGGCATGTCTCAAGCCAGGTCCGATATTGAGAGAGCGAAGAAGGCGACGAGGGTGTCGGATTGACTGGCTGCAATGCTGGCCGGCGCATGTCGCAGCCTAGGCAACCATTAGAAAGCCATGCCACATGGTATGTCCACAAGCTGAAAGTATGTAGCCTATCTGAGCGATATGTTGCCAGGTCCAATATCATGATGGACATGGCGGATTCGGAAGATAAGTCGAGAAACGGACCCTTTTTGACACCCAAAACTCTCGTGCCGCCGATTTTCTCTTCAGCATCCGCCATTCGGTCCAGCAGGTGACGGCAGAACAGACAGCCTTGAGCGGCCCAACTTTCAAGATCAGGCGTATTGACATCGAAGAATGTGACTTCCTTGGTAAGAGTGCGGGCCAGTCCGAAAGGCTGTGGTGCCTGTCCTTCCTTGACACGCTCTAGGAACTTGGGAGCGTCATCGCCAAGTCGCCTCTCGATGAGCGCCCATCTGTTCGCAGGGAGGCCGGACGGGTGCTGCTTGTCCTCAGAAAAGTCCAGAGGGAATGCCTTCAGGCAGTATTCGCAAGAATGGTGTACGTTGGCCCAAGGCTCCTCGTGTCTTGAGCTGGGCGAGCTGGACTGACGGGAAGCCATTGTGAGGTGTCTTTGACTCCGAAGTGTCCGGCTGTTTGCTTCTGAGGATTGACACAATGCAGAAAGGGTTTGGGTGATTGTTGTATTGTTCCCGGATCATCGCGAGGGGTGAACTTGGATATTATGTTTGGGAGCTCAGCTTGTCAGCTTGTTGGCGCGCGCCAATAGTGAGGCATCATATTGGCCTAAGCATCCTGACGGCGCAGGTGGATATGAGCCAACAAAGTGTGATGAATTGACGCCATATTGGCTGCTCAACAAAAGAAGAGAAAGAAATGAATACCGGGTCAACGATGTGTGCTGCCTGGAAAATGTGGTTGGAAAGAGAAAAGGGAAAGATCGAGGACCTTCCTTCTCTGATTTCCCATGTGGACCGTGCACGGAGTTGGGGAGGAAGGTGCGACCCCTGGGCTCAAAGTTATCGTCTCAAGTGAAGTCAAAGTCAACAAAACAAAGCAAAGCAAACAAAGCCCACCCAGCAGCCACACGGGTCCTCTCAAACGCGGGACTATTCTCACCTTCCTTGTTGCCATTGTTTAGAGCTCCTTCGTTTGGGACCCACATTCTTAAGAAGATATTAAAATCTCGAAAGATAACCAGGCACCTCAGCAAATCGGTCACCGAGTCGCGGAACACTTAAAAGGGCGGAAAGCAGCCTGCAAGTACTGCTGTCCCTTCTTTCGCCTGATTTCCTTCTTCACAGTTCCATTCAGTTTAAACCTGAGTTCGAAAGCCCATTTCTCAGGTTCAAGTCACCCCGACCAAAACTAACTTCCACCAGACTACCGACACGACTCACCATGGCAGGCGACGAAGACGAGCCAGAAGCGCGATTCCACGATCCCATGCCAGTTGGATACGTCTTCGTCCCCAAAGGAGACGTGTACATGACCAAAAATTGCCGCAAGGAGACACACTCGGCGGACCTGACTGTTTACGTGGTGGTTAACAAACGCCGGAAACCGATCGGCCTTCGCTGTCCCGCCTCCATTGTTGAAGTCGTTCAAGAGTCAAATCAGGCTACAGCTGCGAAACGTGCAGAGGCTGTACAGAAGCGAGATGCAGCTGTCGAAGGCGACTTTGAAGAGGCACTGAAGAGGCTGTTCCCAAACACCCCTAAAGAGACGATCCCCAAGATTGTGAGCCATGCGCTCAAGAAGCGGAGCAGGAGAGTGGGAAGAAGCGGGACCGTACAGCTGGATGACAAGGTGAAGCTGGTGGTGCGAGCGCATATCCGGCACGAACACACGGAATATGAGCAGCTACTGAGACAGGGCACAGCCCGCGAGAGAGCCAGACAACAAGTTTACAGCAAGCTTAATGAGATTGCGAGACTCTGGGGTGGACGACCGGCGAAGGGTGCTGGGACAAAGCGAAAGGCCGAAGATGATGATGGGGACGAAACAAGAATAACTCGGGAAAGGAGTAAACTGCTCAAAAGACAAAAGAAAGAGCAAAGAGTCAAAACAGCAGCTACCGGTGCAGACACCGCGCGACTCAAGAAGACCGAAAAGTTGGAACGGAAGAAAGCCAGAAAAAAGATGACCCGTGAAGAGAGACAGCTGCTAGCTGAAAAGAGCAGGACATCAAAGGTGTCTGCCCTACGGGTTCAGACACGTCGTATGGCCAGAGAAGGAATCGAATCTCTGGGCGGCACCGAGAAAGAACCCATCATCATCGACGATAGCGACGGACAAGAGGCTGTCTTTACTAGAGACGAAGACACCGACTTTGACGACGGCAATGAGTCGGACTGGAGCGACTGGAGCGACATCAGCTTTGGCAATGGCACTGGGAAGAAGTCGCAACGGAACGACCACCACTGGACGAAGCCATGCCGAAACTGATGGTCCATGCTGAGTGGCTGCAAAGTGGCTTACCAACGTAACAACAGGCCATTAACTGCCACGAGAATGTTTGTATGCATGTTCGATAATCTCTGTAACATCTAAACCTGCGACCTGTGCCTGGGCTATGCTCGATGGCATGAAGTCGTGCCAATATGGCGTGAAGCACGGTATCGGTGTGCATTTAGCAAAAGCGAAGCGCCTTGCTCGAAGCGAACCCTGTCGGCTGTTTGAATCGAGGCCTGATATACTTATGAGCACACTGATATTTTGGCACCGACAGTCCTGTTGTCGAAACCACACATTACACCCATCGTGTCTGACCGAGAATGGAATAGAACGGTCTTGTGTGAGTAATATGTTGCCGAGACAAAGACATTGTGGTTCTGGCTGAAGAGACCCAGCCACTCCAGATTGAGAGAAAGCATGGGACGTCTAAACAGGTGAGAGGCTGCATATGCATTCGAAGCCCCAGACACCACCACCCCTTGCGTTTCCCAGGGTTATTGGGCCAAACTTAGGTACCGGGACGGCGGGCTGCGGGACACGACCGCACTTCCCCATCCTGCACGTCTCGGACTCCGGAATGGGGACATTGCGTACCTACGGTCTTCCAAAGCCTTGGAGAGCTGTAGACATCGTGTAAGACGAACATGGAGGAGCTGCTGCGAGCTGCAAGAGAGAACACAATGAATGATAAGACCTTCATGCCCATCTCTTGGGACCTGACCTGGTCTCTTCTCCTTCTGGCTCCTCTCGAAAGGCACATTGAAATCATCGTCAACCATGGCCAACGCAGCAAATCCCAAGACGCGGATCACCTTTGAGGGTTCGTCCGTTCTTGTTCTTCGAGTTTGACCTTGTTTTGCTGATAAGAAGAACAGAGTACCTCGGCTGCACCGAGGCGTGCTTCGAGTGGGCGGACAGCTATGACAGTAAGGACTTTGACCGGTTGAGGAAGTGCATCGCTCCCACCTTGAGGGTAAGAGAAGAGATCCCTCCAAGTTTCCAAAGTAGTGACTCCGACTGATGATGTTCGCCCGGGCTTAGGTCGACTACCGTTCGTTCCTCAACAAGCTCTGGGAGGCCATGCCGGCTGAGGAGTTCATCCAGATGGTGTCGGACAAGAAGGTGATTGGCAACCCCCTCTTGCGGACGCAGCACTTTATGAGTGGCATAAGCAAGTGGGAGAAGGTGTCGGATACCGAGATCATCGGCTACCACCAGCTCCGCGTGCCACACCAAGTCTATACCGACAAGAGCTGCACCAAGGTTGCTGTCACCGGCCACGCCCACAGTCACAACACCCACTACTACAAGAAGGTCGATGGCGTCTGGAAGTTTGCTGGCCTCAACCCGGATATTCGTTGGACCGAGGGTGACTTTGACAAGGTCTTTGCTGACGGGCGTGAGGAGCTTGGTGAGATCAACTAAGCGATATAAGGGATTGTCATAGTCGGGTGTGTGTTGAAGCAGACTTGGTAGTAGAATTGAATCAAGTATAACCCATAAGCCTGATGAAGTGATAGTGTGAACGTGGAGAGTCGGTATTGAACATTGTGGGTGTGAACATCAGAAGACATCCGGATGGAATGTGACTTTCGATGTTCAGTTGAAGTTGTTCGCTCATCGCTGCTGTCGATCACTGTGGATATTTCCTTACCGGATCTGTGGAGCCCAAAGGCGCCCTATTAGTGGGGCCCAAGCCACTTTCACAGCAAGTCTCAGGCGCATCGGTACGTAGCTCGATAACAATTGCGATGATGGAATTGCTTTCGGATTTGCAGAACTTCAAGAAACTACACTACCTTGACAAGAACAAAAGAGCTTTGCGACACCGCAGCTCTTCCATCTCCACACTCCATCCATCTTCTCAATGATCCTCCAAAGGTGACTAGGCGCGACAGACTCGCGACTACGTTAACCACACGAGAAACACTCCAATATGCGCGAGTTCATGAACTACATTACCAATGCCTTCTACGGCGCAACGGGTTGGAACGAGGACAACAAGTACAACGAGCTGAATGCGACATCCAGAGGTGCGATCCTAACCATAGTAGGCCTCCTGGGTTATTACTTCAGAGACTAATAACAAAAACCGAACAACCAGATCTCATCGACTTTCCTCTTCCCCGTGGCTTGCGCCTGACGCTCTCCTCGCTCGCAACACCCCATTTTGCGACAAGCTACCAACTCGGCAGTGTTGGCGTCGTCGATGGCTCGATATCATATCTACATAGCTCCATTCCGTTGACCCATATCGCCGCCCAGTCCGACAAGATCCCGCTTCCCGCTCTCCTACGATGTTACCGCCGTCTACATGATCTTCGCTCGCCCGGTCAGCACTACATGCTCGATGCCGACCCGCTATCCGCACAAAGCGCACAAGCACTGCTAGGCGCAGTATCAGACACCTCTTTGGCCAATGGTACGCTGGTCGGAGGGAATACCGGCCAGGATCCAAGCAAATATACACACTCTCTTCTATACGGCCGCCTGTATCTGCCCAAGTCGCTGCTCGAGGGTATGGTCATCAAGCGCTTTACCCAGGCGCTTCAGGTCCAAGTAAGAGCCGTCAGTGAGCAGTCCCTAAGGAATGGCGGGACCATGCTGGGCCTGGTTCAGTATGACAAGGGCAAATACGGTCTCGAGGGTCTGTATTCAACCGACGGTGGTCTGCTGGGTTTCCGCGGTCTTTATAACTTTGGCGGCGATGCTTCTTCCTCGAACTATGATCCCTGGACAACGGCAGCTGGAGAGATCAACAATAATGCCAATACCGGAAATGGCCAAGCAGTCGAGAAGGAGCGCATCTATGGTCGCTTCAGTGTCGGCGGAGAGCTCTACTACGGAACCCTCAACAAGTCCGGCGGCATGTCGCTTGGTGCACGCTTTGCTACCCTGCCAGCACACCGAGGGACACCATTGACCGCAACCCTGACCATCAACCCGCTCATGGGCAACATCAACGCCACCTATGCTCTTTTGGCCCGGGAATACTGCTCGCTCGCAACGCGGGTCGAGTTCAACGTGTACAGTTACGAGAGTGAATGGGCGGTAGGTATGGAACTCTGGAGTAATCGTAGACCAGCCGGCTTCCTGCTCGGCGCGAGCCCTTCCAACGATCCTGCTGAGCCTGCACCACAACCACCCAAAAAGAAGGAGAGGAGTTTCCAGGCGAAAATGGAATGGCGATTGGATGATCCTGAGCCCGAACTTGAGCCTACCACTGCTCCTCCCAAGAGCGAAACAGACAACAAAGAGCAAAAGAACGACGAGTACAAGGGAGTTTTGAAAGCTCGTCTTGACAACAACCTCCGCATTGGGTTGCTGTGGGAAGGAAGAGCCAAGTCTCTCATCTTCAGCCTGGGGACGGGGATCGATCTGCATAAACTAGGTGAACCCTTTAGGAGCCTTGGCCTTGAGGTCCAGTACTCTTCTTGATCATCGGTCGACAAACATCTCAATCCAACAACATTATCCGTACAGCCGTCTTCCAGACAGACCAAGCTTTGTAAATTGTAAACCAAGTGGCCGAGGTACGAAACAGTGGTAAATCATGCACCACTGTTTTGAATGATGCGCATATTCAGCCCGGGCTACTCCAAGCAGATGGGAGTCTCGCGACTGAAGCCGTCCCTGGATGGAGCAGCGGAGGCAGACCTTTCGATGGATCGTAAGACTTCTTCAGACCCTGTCTTACCAGGGGATCTTTCTGGTTTTGCGTGCTGCCCACCAGGTTGCATCAGGTCTTGCTTTAGCTCTTGCCTTAGCTCTTGCGGCCTTAACTCTTCCAGCTCCTCGTGCTCGCTTCGCTGTTGGCCATTCGCCTGCTTTTCCTGGGGTTGCTCCCGCATCTCCTGATGCCGCCTGACGGCTTTGGCGAAGACGCTTCTCTCCTGAATCCGTCTAATTTTGCTGGGCCGTATCTTCGTTGCTGGCACCGGGCATATTGCTGGTCCTTTTACCGGCTAGCCCCTTCGACTGTCCCAGTTTGAGGCGCTGCAGTAAGTGGGAAGAAGCGGGCGACCTAGAAAGACGCGGATTTGCATCTGAAAGACGTGGATAAACGTGTTGATGACGGCTATTCTTGCGATAGCTGAATCGTTTTAGGTTCAGCTGTTTACGAGATTCGTTGATGGGAGAAGCGGGCTCGTCGTCCGGTGCCATAGCGTACTGCGACCTGTTCGAAGAAATTAGCTGAGGAAGACATATTTCTAAGCGGGGCGGCGGTGATGAAGAAGGTTGAACGGACTGCTCTAGTCGTTCGGGATTCCGAGCTCCCGCTCCCTGCAGCGGGGCCGATACGGCCACAGGAGGTTGGAAAAATGCCGAACGGCCATTAATTGTCGAAATGGGGTCAAGGAGAGACCCGGACCCTAGTAGACGTCGAGGAGACTGTGCTTCGAGGAATTGGTCAAATTCCTCCTTGTTGAGTCCTAAGCGGTTCCGAACGCCTTTCAAGGGTTTGGCACAGAAATTCTGGCCTTTGAAGACTTCCCAGTGACTGGGGGAAGAGGTGCCTTGCAAGCCTTGTCGGTGTCTAACAGCAACAATTCCGGTTTGCCGGTAAGTTGGGTCTGTGGTCGGCTTTAGCGCAGTCGGGGTCGTGACTTCTTGCATGTCCACTTGAGCTACTGGGAGATTATCTGAGACCTCGTTATCTTCACCGTCGACGAGCGATTCGAAGTCAACCATTGGGCCATTTTCGTCCACTTCCTGTTGCCGATCAAGTTCTTCGTAGTCATTGTCCCATTCAGCAACTAATGGGTCTTCCTTGGCGCCTGGTTGTATCGGAGGAGGGTTGGAGTAGTCGCTGCAGGTACGGTTTCCGGGGACGGCAAAGGGAATAGTCTCGACGGCGAAGGTGATGCCAGTTACTCGACGGATTTTGGCCAAGTAGCTTAGGCAACTGCCACAGGGACTGTGGTTGAGGAAGACCTTAGCCTTAGATCGCTCGGAGGGTAGTTCGATGTGCTTTAGCTCTGCCATGCGAACCAAATCGCTGGTCTTGAGGAAGTCCTGGAGTAATTTCAGGACCCAAGTCGTTGACAACTGCTTTTCAACACTATTACAAGTTAAAATAAGGCATTTAGCGGAAAAGGGTTTGCACAAGGATGAAGAACTCACTGTGATGCCATATACCTGCCAATATGCTCCGGTGGCACGACACTCTCTCCCGGACAGTCGTAGGGTTGCATATATAGTTTGAACTCCATGATCTGACAGGCATATCGCACCAGAGCTGTCATTTTGGCGTTGGGAAGGACCCCTTGCATCGATGACTCCTCCCTTTCATCTTTCCAGCCGCTTACGGCCATCATCTGTGGGAGGGTCGATGCGTATGAAGCGATGAAGCCGCATGTAGAATTCTGAACCGGAAATGCCAGGTTTGTAGTGACGACTTTACGTAGTATCGTCAGTCTTCTCCCATCTGTGAGGATCGTCGAGCCGGAGAGAGGGTGGTCATTAGTCGAAAGTATGGATCGTAGAGCTTCGGGTTCGCGGAATATGGGCGCCCTTCGTTTCGCCGGCTGCCACCCAAGTCGCTCGTACTGTTGTAATTTTTTTGCCCTTAAGGCGCCGGAGCGCGCATACTGTAGGGTGGTGTACCCCTTCTTATCACAGATACTGAAGGAGGCCTTGGAGAGCAAGAGTAACTTAACTGTCGTGAGGGAACCGGTGAGTACTGCTAGGTGTAAAGGGGTGACTTTGTCTCTGGTTGTCTGATTGTTTACTACATTCTTCTTGTCTTGATGGATAATTTTCTTGACCTTTTTGAGGTCGCCCTCGAGGACGGCTTCGTGTATTGGACGAAGGCCAAGCGCTTTGGTCATGAAGTCGGAGGGCTTCATGCTGAATGACCGCGATAGGCTTGTATTTAACCTTCGCGATGATGTACGTACCCGTAAAACCGTGATTTGTGATTATTGACGCGATTTTTGGGGTCACAGCTGGTACGGAGAACAGAACCAAATGACTGGGCCACCAACCGCAGGGTGAACTCGAGGTGACAGCAGACCGAGATGAGGCTCTCACGAAACTCGCTTGTGATTTGTGATAGGGTGACAGGAGAGTAAGAATCTGAAATTGACAGGCTTCTACTAAGCCCAAAAGATATCAAGAATGGAAGTGACACAGAAACTAGTGATCCAACGAGAGGATGGTTGGTGATGGGACAAATGAAGACGGGTAACTCCGACGAAAGATCTTGCTACCGTAGAGAGTCTGCCGGTTCAGGGAAGAAGTGGGCGCGTGAGAGAACAGACATGTCCAGGAAACACGCAAGCCTCGCCTTCAAAGATCGGATGAGAGTGAGGCGAGCAGTTGACAAAATGGGACATGGTTTGTCACAAGCGCGTGTGTGTGTGTTTGTATTTAACGTCTAGTACTTCCGCCTCCCTAGGGGCATGAGACGATGGGCATAAACCCAAAGACCCTCGTGTCAAACACAGGCGCTCGTACAGAGGAGGTAGCGGATAAGCCGCACATGGAAGTGAGAGGGGAGAAAATCCCTCCCAAGGTGGTTTGTCACAGGCACTGGGTAGAAGCGAGTCAACAAAGAATCTGGAGGCAAGGGAATGATATTTCACACTGGGATCTTTACGATATTCGAAAATGAGCAGCCCGAGGCATGACCAAGAAGCAATCCATTTTTGACGCCTGAAACCTGATATGCTACCGGGGAAACGAAGTCATGCAACGCGAAGCCTTCACTCCAGAAACTGTGGGTATCGTATTCGTGAAACGGGGAAGATTTAGATATTATTCATGATATCTAGCGACGAATTTACTCGTCATCCTCCTCCTCATCGGCCTCGATGACGGTCTGGGCAATACCTGTACCATGAATGTTAGCGCCTGATTCGACACAAAGACTGTTTCCGAGAGCAAACTTACGGTCCAGATCACGCTGGCCCTGCTGGGTGATGCGGCGGCCACCCTTCTCCTCGTCGTGCTCGAGGACACCGATCTTCTCGAGGGCCTGGAGGACCTTGCGGTCAACGGAGCCAGAGGCGTCAACGTGGTGGGAGGGACGGCTGCCACGGTTCTTGGCAGTGCCGTGGACGCGGCGGAGACGGCCAACACCAACGGTCTTGCGGAGGTAGACGTGGCGGGCAACGGAGGCGGCGCGGACGTAGAACCAGTCGATGTCCTGGGGGGGCATCTCCTTGGCGGGGCCGGTCTTGACGGTATCAACCCAACCTGTTGTCGCGAGTTAGCCGATTGCCTCATCCACCGATTTTGGGGGAGTTCAAAGCCTACCGGGAACGGGCAGCTTGCCCTGGCGCTTCAAGAAAGCAGCATAGGCGTTGACGAACTTGTGGGGCTACATATCACACAGAAATACCATCAGCAATGATTCCGTCATCGGAAGTCTTTCGACCCCCTCGCGCCTGCTCCCATTTTCTTCTTTTTGTAGTTGTCGTGCCCGCTGGTTGTAGTTCGTCGTCGTGATCGCCGGCCAGCTCGGCAAGCTCCAGCTCAGCTCATCGTTCTTGAGGGCTCAGAATTGCGTTTGCTAGCCGGTCGATTTCGGACTCGGACAGCGATTGATTGATTGTGAAGTTTCTGGTTCGGCCGCAGAGGAGATCTCAAGACGGAGATCTATGGTGGCCTACCTCGACGTCCCGAACAGTGGTACCACCAGGCATTTTGACGGTTGGTTGGGTTGGTTAGCCGACTTAATTGAAGTTGCTCGCTCGGTGGTGCAAAGGAATCGCGATAGCTGCCAGCGGTGGAAATTTTCTAGGTGGATGGAAGTCTTGGCATTGACACTGCACGGACCAGTACAGCCTTAACTATTAGGGCTTTTGGCCCTTCCGCCTTTTGCACCTTGATGGTTGCCAGTGCTCGCCCAGCGGTTAGCGCCTAGAAACCACCAATGTTGTAACCCTAACCCCAACAGCAACTGACCAGGCTCTCTTGGCACGCTCAAGCCGCGGGGAACAGAAGCTGCCAGCGTCTGGAAATGTCTGGGATCATCCCAGCTTGAATCTCGGACTCGGCAAACAACCCCACTTGACAACAACCTTGTCGACGTCCAAATCCAAATCCATCATCGCAGCATGGAGTGAATTGGGAAGTCTGGACTTCAATCGTTTTCACAAGACACTCGTCAAGTCATTCTTTGATATTTACCACAGATTTCTCTTCATATATACCTAGCACCCGTGGCACCTCATCCAGAACGAATGGATAATTGTCTTTTAGCAGATTACTGAGGAAGAATGACTTCGCGTTTGTGGCTTGTTCCGCGTCAGTCGAGGGCGATACTATGCCTCTTAAACAGTATATCCTCTGGTATTTGCTCTTGGGATATCTGCCATGAATATGTTATATCACGATTTCAGGTTGTCTCTCCGGAGATCTCCAGATTCCCAAATCCGCGAGCCGCCCATGCCGCCACAGGAATACATTTTGTATCAGTGAACCAATGGAAGGGATGGTTGGGGGTTCAGTTACACAAGAATTCGTCGCTCGAGGATGTTTCCTTGCCAGTGAGCGGGGTGCTCGTCTCAACATTTGGAGTAGTTGCCATTCGTTGACGCCGGCTTCCTGGTATCTCTGACAGGCACGGTTTCACCATGGCAGTTTCAATCCCTCTATCGACATTATCACGGACACCGATCACTTTGCAAGTAATAGCCATCTAGCTTTCCGACTGGTGGTGACAAGGTCGCTGCAGTCCTTCCGATGAAACCATGTCTCCATCACCACCAGCCCCGGCGCTTTTGAGCGGCCCGGTTACAGGCCCCCTGAACTTGGATTCGTCTTCCCCAAAACGACGTACTGAAGGCTTGCGGCCGAAAACCCCAAGTTAAAGACTTAGGAATACCACGATGACCTGTCAAAGCCGCGTGTGAAGAGACATTCCATGGGCTCATGGACTTTCGCTGAGGGTACTGGAGGCGGTCTGAAACTCATCGCAAAGGATCAGTCCCGGACAAGGCCGGACGTACCGATGAGTACGCCGATTCACTCCACCAGGCGCTTAATGCCTTGACACTGCGTCTTTCATAAACAACCAAAGTATCTGTTCTTGTCCGAGGGAGCTGGATAAATAGGCTCTCATTCCCTCCGGTTGGGCTTCCGCGATTTCACGCCCAGTTTGTGACTGACATCAATTCATTCTTTTCAAGTGTAGTTCTTCCTTCTTTACTACAGACGCTCCTTCTTCACCTGCTGGCAGGTTTACCTTCATTTGCACAGATATTCTATCCATTCCTTCACTGATTCAATCATTCATTCTCGACCCCCTTCATATAAACACATAAAGCATTGACGGTTGTTCTCTCCATCATGCTTGCTTCACTTGGTTCTCTGCTCGCGATAGCAGCGATTGCTAGAGCTAGTCCTTTGCTTCCCAGGGCAGTCGATTCGCTTAATGAAGAGGCTACGGCGGAAGCTCAGCAGCGAGACGGAAGTGCTACACGTGCATTTTCCGATGTCCCAATCAAGGTATTTCAACAAAGTCTTAACCCCATACCGGAACCACCACTAACATGATAACAGACGTCAGATGGAAGATGTCTTTTCGTTGACAAGCTGTCCGGCGACTTTCGGGCAAACTTGACCCCTATTCAGGTTGCCGACTGCGGTTCTACTGATGGCCAGGGGTGGGATGTTATCACGAGTGGCAAGCATATTTCCGGAGACGGTGGTATGCTGGTGGTGAGCACGTTGACACAAGCCTGCTTCAACTATGATCCCCGCCGGGCGGCTGGGAATCAAGTCATTCTTTTTTCATGCGGTGGTCGAGCTGATGGTGGTAAGTATACTTGTTGCAGAAGCATTTTCCAACAGAGACATCTTGGCGCTGACATATGCCAGGCGGCGAGGTCACTGACTCCCAGATATTTACCTTTGACGGTTCATCTGGACCCCTTCCTTTTCAGCCCCAGAACGAAGACAGTAGTTGCTTCACGGTCTCGGGCAATAATATAGACGTTGCGCCATGCGACTCGGGTGACTCCAGTCAATCATTTACTTTTGGAGACGGCGGCGATAACGGAAACAACAACGGAGGAAATACTGACACGGGAGGGGATACCAACACTGGAGGAAATACCGACGCGCAAGAGAGCACCGCTTCACAACAGCCGACAACCTTTGCCACTCAGGTCACTGCGACAGCTGATGCCACAGCCACGACATCCGTGACTTCTTCACCGGACAGCGGATCAGGACCGGGATCAGGAGGCAGTTCCGGAAACGGCAACATCCCTGATTTCAACCCAACCGAACCTGTTCCGGTGTCGCGGGCAGGCGGTACTTTGCAGCCCACGGCGGTTGCAGAGTCCCATCAGCGAGATGATACCGCTACCCGCGCTTTCAGCGATGTCTCGATCCGAGCTCCTGATGGACGGTGTCTCTTCATTGATCCGACAGCTGGCGACTTCCGCGAGAATCTGATTCCCGTCCAACTGGTGGAGTGTACTGGATCGGCCAACGAGAAGTGGGATGTTCTCACCTCGGGAAAGCATAACCAGCAAGACGCCAATGGGACACCAGCTGCTTTGATTGTTAGCACTTTGGTATGTTCATCCTTGAATTCCAAGGCTCGGCGAAGAGAAGTGTCCGGCTAACCATGCGTGCTATATGAAGACCCAGGGTTGCCTCAACTTTGACGGCCGCCGAGCGACGGGTGACACAGTCATGCTCTTCTCATGTGGTGGACGGGCTGCTGGTGGTAAGTTTAATCAAAGAAGCTCGACCAAAAGGACAACGTTCTAACTGTGAACAAACAGAGGGTGAAACCAGCACCGGACAACAATTCCCGTTCAGCGGATCTACTAGCTTTGCTCTTGCACCGCTAAGTGAAAAGGGCTCAACCTGCCTGGTTGTTGGCGAGGAGAGAGTGGACTCGGGAGCATGCCCCGATGATGGAAGCCAACTGTTCTCCATCTATCCCTAGGACTTGGCTTCTAAACGGGGTGTTTGAGTCGGGTGGTGATGACTATTCAAGCCAAGCTCTTGGGAGAAGAGCTGAGATATCGTGCCCAGCGGCGACCTGTACGGAAGTTATTGTCAATTTATGAACTGCACCTTTACTGAGTACGAATTCATGGGGAATTCCGGGCCAAAGCAACTGATATTTCATCGAAGAGCGACTGATCTGTTCCCATTTGATGGTCCATGGTAGAGGTCAAGGAGACACTTGGTGCTGGAGCAGGTGATGTTTAGATTGTCTTCGTGGATCTCTGTGCACAATCTCGATCCAACGACACAAAATGGTTTTCAACTCTCATGAAGAGATATTTCTATGTTTTTTTGGTTGAATTGTTGTAAATGAAGTCGTTGTTTGGACCTGGAATTGTTGTTCGGGACGAAGATACCCCTGATTTGTCAGCTGCTAGCCACCTGCCCACCCGTTCCATCGGCGGCTCCCAAGGTTCGCAGGCGGACCTGACATCATGCGGCCACCCCGAAAATTCGCTGCCAAAGTGACAGTAAGTGACAGTGTCTGACACTTTCCCGAAGCCGAAACTCCGTATCTCCCGCCATCACCACCTGCGCCGACGCACCTGCTCCCGTTAAGTCGCTTCGGAACGGCGATTTTGACACCCAAACCGCGACAAAGCGCCTTCTCCGGTAACGCCAACCGAACCTAGTAAACCATCAACAACCTGCACCTAATACCCCTCTCTACAACCGCCGCCATCATGCCACCCCTCCGCTGCGCCAATGCGCCCGCACCGGCGAGCCTCTTCGTCCAACTGAGCATGCGCCGAACCGCCCAGTCCCCTATTCTGGCCGATATCCTGCTCCCACTGCGTACGCGCGCCCACTACAGCGTCACCAAAAGGATAGCAACCGCTCCGACTACCACTCCCGTCTGCAAGACGCAATGGCGCGCCAGACAATCGCTGTCTTCAAGCCAGTTCAACAAGCGCCTCTTCACCACCTCGGCCCCGCGCAAGGCAACCCACACGCTATTCAACCCCCAGAATGACGAGGATGGGAACGAGATGGTGCTGGAGATTACAGAGCGAGCGGCAAAGGTTCGTATTGGGCCACCTCTTTCTCCATTGGTCTAAAGGACAGTCTGACTAACTCACATAAAACCTAAACAGCGTCTCTCAGAAATCATGACCAAGGACTCCAACCCCTACCTCGCGCTGCGCATCCAAGTCGAATCCGGCGGCTGCCACGGTTTCCAATACCTCATGAAGCTGGTCACTCTCCCATCGCAACTCCCGGAGCTACCCGTTTCCGAAGAGGCCGCGGAGGGATCAGAGATTCGCGAGGACGATACGATATTCAGCTATTACCCCGATAACAGCCCAGCGCCGTCGTCTTCCGATCTGACGGTACCGAAGATCATTCTGGATGGGCCGTCGCTGGAGTTGCTCAAGGGTAGCAAGGTCGACTTCACGATGGAGTTGATCGGTTCCCAGTTCAAGATTGTTGACAACCCACTGGCGACGAGCAGCTGTGGCTGTGGTACGAGTTTCGACATCAAGATCTGAGGGAATGGATGATGGAATCAAGGACCTGCGACCGTTGAGTGTATTATTACGTGACTGTATTGGGTAGCAGGCATGGTCTACTGGGTATTGCATAACAGAGCGGCAAAAGGGCGTTTCTTTGTTCATCGTCACGGATATGATCACAAGCGAAAGAAGGCAGTGTGGTAGACATCGAATTTTAATAGCATTGGGCCGAGCCAAGGCCAGTTACGGAGCAGGCTAGGATCACGAATCCACCGGTGAACCAGATTTTGTGATTGGAAAACGACAAAGTTGCATTCATTCCCATCCCGGCCTATTAGGCTTCCCAATTAACGCCGAGCGCCATGCATCCGTAACGACCAAGACGAGGTTCATATTATCTCAACGAAACCCCAATTGCATTTAGTTCATCTGGCGGATGAGAGCGTTGATGTGCTCCTCACGGTTGCCAAGATCACCACCCTCGATGAAGTGCTTGAACTTGCGAGTGCGGAAGCCACCAGTGGGGTTGGAGAGCTTGAAGGGCCAGAGGAAGTTGGAGGCCTGCTTGAAGTTGGGGCCGACGGTGTAGATCTCGTGGATGAGATCCTCCATGCAGATGATGCCGTACTTGCCAAGGTTCTCCTCAATGATGGAGTTGTCGGTAAGAGCGACGCGCTGCTTGTTGACCTTGCCGTATCCGCGCTTGTAGATGAGCTCCTTGACGGACTTGAGGTTGGGGTAGCCGTAGGCAACCCAGGGCTCGACGATCTTGATCATCTCAGCGGTGGCCTTGGTGACGCGGATGAAGACACCGTTGTTGATCTGGAGAAGACGGAGGAGCTGGAGGATCTTGCGGGGCTTGGGGGCGATCTTGTTGATACCCTTGATGCGGATCAAGAAGATGAGCTTGCCCTCAGCGGGGATGTGGAAAGAGCCATCCTGCTTGGCGGCGCGGTGAAGGCGGACCTTCTCACGCTCGACGTCGCGGTACTCCTTGACGTAGGTCTCGGCGCGCTTGAAGATGACGCCACGCTTCTCCTTGTTGGCCTATTGGATACAGTCAGCAATGAGTTCGGAACGCAAGAAGGCAGTTCAAATAGTCCATTGATGAGGTATTATGTCAGACCCGAAAGATGGTATTTAGCAACAGCATCGGCGAACCTAGTCGCTATGGTATGTTGTGCATCATGTTGTCCTCTGGAAGGGGGGAGAGCTCGAGCAACGGTAATACTTACAGCCTTCTTCTTCTCGATCTCAGCCTGGCGCTCAGCGCGGGCCTTCTCCTGAGACTTGCGCTTCTTCAGGAGGGTCTCAGGGACCAGAATGTCGTTCTTGGTGGGGACGGAACTAAACATCACAGATTAGTACGGGGTCCAGCATACCAGAGGTATGTGGTAGAGCGCCGGTGGAGAACTGCTGCTCAAGTGCGGCATTCTCTCGTGGCTGACTCGATTGACAGCTTGGTGTAGCCGCTTGGTGTAACTTGGAGAGATGCGCTCAGCATTTTCAGCGTGAGGATCACACAGCCAAGCACGACCTGGACAACAAGTGTCCGAAAGGTGGGCTGACTGTGACGGAGAGCAAAGACTCGAGATTTCACTCTTGTCCAAGTTCGTCTGTCGCAGCAGCGATGGATTTAAGGGAGAAGGCCAGAGACCTTCAACCCCAACACCCCACGAGACATCTCTCAGTCTGCAAGCCTGGTCGGTCCAAGGCCTGGAGGAAAGAGGGAGAATCGTGAGAGGGATCGAGCTGGGGCGATGGCTGCTCCGTGAGAAGACAGGCCAAAGACACCCAGTGAGAGGACCACGACTATCTGCAGATTGTTCCTGGAACACGCGACGATACCATTCCTCTGCCGTCAAGGGGAATGATCGGGGTTGGCATACGTAGACATGGTGCCGGTGGTCGATCTGCGACGTTGTCAGAATTCGATGTCGAAATAGGAGCAGAAGGACGAGAAAAAAGCCGACGATCGATTGTTAAGTAGGGCCCGCGAAATTTTGAGAACAGTGGGGCCGCACGGAGCTCGGCTGCCAAGTGGATTTAGGGTTTGTCCGATGGTTTTGGTGCCTGTGCTCCGCTTTCTGCCGCCTTCTCCCGCCAAATTCGATAGGGCATTACTCAACCGCACGAAGTCGAACTACCCCCGCCGAATTTTTATGCTGGAATCTGGAGATCGTCCACTTGACAGTATCAACACCACAGGTCCAAGACACCAGATCAACCGTCAAGATGCCCCCCAAGAAGGCCGCCCGTCCCGCTCAGGAGAACATCTCCCTTGGCCCTCAGATCCGTGAGGGTGAGCTCGTTTTCGGCGGTAAGTTTCGACCTGCGACGACGACTTTGCGACAGCGAAAAGCGGCCAAAATTGGAGGCTGACAATCAAAAAATAGTTGCTCGCATTTTCGCCTCTTTCAACGACACCTTCGTCCACGTCACCGATCTCAGGTTCGTAACCTCTTGAAGGAATCAATCGCGACGAGGAATCGATTTTTGGCGGGTGGAATTGGCGTTCCCAACCGGAAGAGGAGGGAGCAGACTTGGGGAATTTCCACGCGACTCCTCTACTTGGATCCCGGCTCCACCGCCAAAATCGTGAACTCGGACGATGAGAAGACAAACATAACGATGGTTCTGAGGCTAACGTTCTGGGTGATTCCAGTGGCCGCGAGACCATCTGCCGTGTCACTGGTGGCATGAAGGTCAAGGCCGACCGTGACGAGTCCTCCCCCTACGCCGCCATGTTGGCTGCCCAGGACGTCGCTGCCCGCTGCAAGGAGCTCGGCATCACTGCCCTCCACATCAAGATCCGTGCCACTGGTGGTATGTATTCCTATGTTCCTATCGACTTCATGATTGATGCTAATAACTTCCCACAGGTAACGGCACCAAGACCCCCCGGCCCGGTGCCCAGTCTGCTCTCCGTGCTCTTGCTCGCTCTGGCATGAAGATCGGCCGCATCGAGGACGTCACCCCCACCCCCTCCGACTCTACTCGTCGCAAGGGTGGTCGCCGTGGTCGCCGTCTCTGATTTATCAGAGAGGTGGCTGCCTGGCTTCTGGGCGGAAAAGAAAAAACGGTTATCATCTGGTTTTCTCTGTGGCGTTGACAACTACGAGGAGAACGGCCTTAATTTGCCTGGTCTCCATATGATCTGGCTTGTCACATGTTGCTTTTGGCACAACTGCAGCAGATGAATATAGATGGGAGTCAAAAAACCCCCTTCGCTGCCACCGGCAGCTCAGATCGCAGCCTGGCGTTCGTGTGTGTTCCAAGTGACCTATGTCATGTATGCTTGCCTTTGTGTGAATCCGCTTTCGCGTAATCGTGCAATCGTGCAGTCGACATCTAGACAGCCGAGTAACCTTTGCTCCAACCTATACCTTACCCATGAGGCGTCACTCCAGTACGTCTCTCCATGTCGATCACGCCGGGCATGAAATTCGCCCCCGCCCGCGATTTGTTCTAACAGCTTCGTCACCTGCCATGTATGGCTTCACCGCTGCCTGTCCAAAGCGGCTCCAAGGCGTTGTCTTGCACATACTGCGACGTACCTATTCTACATCACACTTCAAGCATTGGTGAGCATTTAACCAGCTGGAAACATATACGCTGGGTATTCGACACAAACAGGTAATGTTGGGTAGTCGGCGACAAGTATTGAGTGCTTCTCACCCTCACCTCGTACATTAGGCTCAAGTGGTGCGTTGCTTCTTTTCCTCCTGTTCCACTTCGAGTTGGTCGTGACGAATACTTGTCCAAATCGCCACTCATCACAGGTTCACCATGGATACCGTTTTAAGGCGGATAAGCACTATGCTCTTCCTGTCTGCTTGATAGGAATTCTTGCTTGCCACAATGACTCGCCCCCAATACGTACATGAGGTTAAATTGAGGAAACTACGTAGATTTAGGTTATCCCATCGTTCATCTGCGGTAGGTGACAAGGCGGACAGTAAGCACGGTCCTAACAACCAAGGCAGTCCTCGTGGTCTTTGACTATTTCTTGTCGTATCAGGCTCGAACGCGGGTCGATTGTCAGCTTGAATTACAACAGAGACTGGCCTATGTTGCCAACCAAGTTCTTTGATACTCTTTTACTTCGCATGTCTTGATATTTTCAGTTGCCTAAACCAGGCCTTTTCTTTTGGTGTTGTTGGCATGTAGACCTATCTACCATATGGCGTCGTTTGTGGGCCAAGTCGGCGACATCTAGTTCTTTTAGGAGTGATGTGTTTTCACTAGGATCGTTCTCTCAAAACTGCAATGTCGTGAGTTCATAGCAATGATGAAGTGCCCAATGCAAGTCACAATGCCTCATCACAAGTTGGTTGAATTTAATTGCAGAACGAAAATTATGAATTTTTAATGGTCTCATCTTACCCATTTCCAAGCAGCTACTGTGTAGATCTGTAGCCCTGAAACCATGGTTCATTGACATGAAAGATAAAGGACCTGTTCGTTAAAGATTACTTGTTTCAAACCGGCTGTTAAGTTGCTCATGGTGATTCTGGCGTACATCATACACTCCTCATGTCCACGCAATTTCATTTGATAACCTGACAGACACATCATGAAGAGAAGACCAAACGCGCAATTTTGAGTGAAGCTATGCCCGAACCAAAAACAAATTAAACCGAGAGAACCTATGATTCTAGACTAAACTTTCGCTGGGTCTAACCATGGGGCAACGCATTCATGGGAGATAGCACCATTAAAAGACCTGGGGAATTGCTTTTTAGTCACACACCAAAGCCCAATGCAATAGCAAAACGAAAACCACCTATTTCCCTATTCCACAGAGCTTTAACCACGGACCGCATTACCCAGAGCACCACCGGTGAACTGTGTACCACCGGCCTGCCGTTGAGGGTTGCCGCCCGTCCTCGCGCCACCTCTGGCACCACCTCTGCCACCACGCTGGCCACCGCCACGGTTGTCCTTCCTGGAGAAGGCGTTGGCAGAGCCCTGCGTCTTCTGCTCGAGCGTGCGCTCGTTGGTCTCGATAAGGGAGCTGGCCTTGTCGGAGAGAGTGAGGGCCAAGCTCTGGAGACGGCTGAGCTCGACACCCTTGCGGAAGATGACGGTCTCGGTGACCTGGTCAAGAGCAGCCGCAAGCTCCTCGTGGCTGATCATCTTGCTGACGACAGCAGAGACCTTGCGAGAATCGAGCTCGAACATGGAGCTGAGGGTCGCAATGGCGAGAGTGTCGTAGAAAGGAGCATAGGTGAAGAGGTAGGTGCGGAGACCCTCCTCCTGGATCTGCTTGGCGAGCATGGTCTTGATATCCTCGGTGTTCGGCATCAAGTCCCAGATCTTGATGCTGTGGATAAAGTCAGTGGCCTTCTTCCACTCACCAGCAGCAAGAGCCTTGGAGGCCTGCATGACGTGATCCCTGGTGTTCTCGGGGGGGCCGGTGAAGATCTGGCGCTCGTGGTACTCGAGCATACGGCGGTAGGTCTTGCTGATAATTCTCTTCTTGACATCGGGCGAAGAACCGGTCTGGGCGAGCAGAGGAATCTCGAGGAGCATGCTGCAGGTGAGATAGACGCACTCGAGGAGCTCGAGGTTGATGTGCATGTGGAAGGGAAGCTGGCGCTGCTTCTCGAGGCGCTCCTGCTCGGGAGTGACCTGGCTGTAACGCTGGATCATGACACCCTGAGCTAGAAGCTCCTTTTGACGGCCACTGCCGCAAATCTCCTGGAGGGTGTTCTGGGCGTCGTAGACGAGACCCTTGCGGAAAGCGCAAAGGCCAACCTGGACAAGGGTACGGTTGTAGAGAATCTGGGTGGCGATATCGAAGTTGGCGATAGTCTCCTGAAGATGGGAGGTGAGCATCAGGTCGCGAGACTTGTAGTACTCATCGTGCAGAGCCAAGAAGTAGATCTGGCAAAGCATGGCACGAGCGCGGATGATGCCCTCGCTGTTCTCGAAGAGGTAGTTGGAGAGGATGTTGATGAGCTTGCCAGCATCGCCGGACTGGCTGCGGGGGTAATCTCGGAATCGGCCTCGGCAGAGACCTGCTTCCACGCGTTCTCCTCGAGGATCTTGACAACTTGGGCGGGCTAAAAAAATGATGATTAGCAAGGGCGGCTGAGCATTTCAACATTGTCTTTGTACGTACCTTGTAGTAAACATGGTCCAGACGCCTCTGGATGATGCGGTTCAAGCTCTCCTGAGGGACCTCAAGAGAAGCATCCTTGCGGAGATGCTCGTAGTAGAGAAGACCGCGGAAGATGGTGTTGTAGAGGGAGCCCTCGTCGGTCAACCTGTCGATGTACTCGGAGGTGTGGGGATCGATGGCCTGGAGCGAGCGGGTGAGCTCGTCATCGAGACGCTCAATGAGCGAGACAACGCTTCCGGGAACCTTGAGGTACTTCTCGCCCTCAGGGATGGTGGGGAGCTTGTCATCATCATCCCACTCCTCAGCGCCCTCAACAACGACGTGGTCCTTCTCCTTCTCAAGGATCTCCAAGAGAGAGGCAAGGTCACGCTCGGCGGCCTTCCACTGGTCCAAGGGCATCTGGGCGGCGCCACCAGCACCGAGATCGAAGCGGGCGGAAATAAGGGTCTGGAGAACGCGGATCTTCTGGTAAGGGGTGATGGGCACGACCTTGTTGAGGGTCTCCATGACCTTGATCTGCTCGAGGCGGTCGGTGTTCTTCTTGCCGCGAGACTCGATGATGGTGCGGAGGTGCTTGAGGATGCTCTCGGGGGTGTACTGAACGACCTTGCCGCGCGAATCGACCGTAGAGAAGCCCTTGTCGTCCTCCTCCTGCTGCTCGGCGCTGACGACGGGAGCCTCAGCGAACCTGAGGGCCTTGGAAACAGTCTTGGGCGCGGGGATCTCGTCATCCGACTCCATGAAAGCGTCGGCATCCTTCCTGTAGGCAT